CACACCCCTGGAAGCCCACAGAAACTAGCAACACCTAATGCTTCACTTCATTCTTCCACCAACTCGACAAGTCACTTTTTTTTTTTAATACCTGGATTTCTCCATCAACTGGCAATTAGGCTTTACCTGGCTTTGGGATTTTAGAGTGAAATTTCAATAATAATGCAAATGTTTCCTAGAGACTGTTTTCACAGTTACCTGTCCATTGGGAACTGTCTCCTAGAACAAAGAATAAGCAAGGCTAGCAGCAGCTAGGCTTGAAAATCTGATATGCGAAGAATTATTCACCAGTGAGTGCCCAGCTTTTCTGTCTTTTGTAGCCTGTCTCATGGCTGTTTATAGCACGTGGAAACCCGTATGTCTCAACTGCTCCCTAAAAACAAGCCTCTATTACCTAAGTGGGGATGGAGTCTTTGGCCAGAGGAGGTGGCAGGAAATGCAGTTTACAGTGTGTCTCCTGCCAAGCCTGGGCAGAGTTCTTAGAAGCAGCCAATAAGTGCCCCTACCAAGCCACTGAGTCAAAAGGACTTGGCATTAACAGTGTGCTAGACTTTAATGTGAGCTTGCCTGATTTATGTACCTAGAGCTTCCCTGGTATTCTCTGGATTTCCAGACACCTCTTATTAGCTGCCTTTCTGTGACCCTCTTCAGGAAGGCCATGACATTTCCTGAGCTGAGGAACGGGAGTTCCCTTTTCCGTAGGCACATGCCATCCCTTTTCGCCAGGTACCCTTTGAGTCACCCAGGTTCTCACCTTTCACAATTGAGTAAAATTGATGAAGTTCTCCTAAAATTCCCATTTGTCCAACTTTACCTCAAACTGGCCCACTTTCCAGAAGTTTATAACTTTGTGACATGCATGAAGTATGTGATTCCCACAGCTTCCCACAGGGACGGTACTTGTTCTGGAAAACGCACTGGCCTAGTATGCAGAAAGTTTTGGCCAGTGGTTTTCAACTCGCTGCAAATGAGAACTGCTTATAAAGATTTTTCTAAATAGAGATGGCAAAGCTTTCCCCTTCAGATTTCAATTCAGTTATTTCTAGCCAAGACCCTGCCCTTGCCCCTGCCCCTGCTACTTGGGGTCCTTAGGCACCTGTTTCCTTATCTCTTGAACTTGGATCAAGATAATCAACCTATCTCACACAGATATGGTGGGTATGACTGGCAGGATGGAGGAAATAAAGTATTAGAAGTGCTCTGTAAACTGGAAAGTGCCAGTTAAGATCTCAGGCTACTATGGCCTTGCCTTGTTTCATTCCTTCCTTCTTCATTCTGTCTTAACTCCCATTCTTTACCACTTCCATCAACTCCACACTCCAAATTATAGTATTCAACAGACTCCTCCCTATCCCCCCAAACCTCTGAGATTTCAGTATGCCTTGCTTCCCTGGGCTAGGATGAGCTTCTGAAAGAGTAACTAATCCTTCCTCATGGCTTTAAATAGAACTGTTCCTGTTTCATCCCAGACAGATGAGAACCTTCTTGGCTTTCAAGACTCCCTCATAGATATTCAGCATCATCCCAATGACACTGCTCAGTCTTATTTCTGAAGTGTAAGCCCATTTGCAGACCAATGGGGGCTTTGCCTGGGGTTCCCATGCAGGTTGCATTAGGAAAGGTACAAAATGGAAGACGTTTGCCACTTCCACTGTCATTCTACTGCCATCGCTTTAGGGTTCTGGGGCATCTCCCCCTTCCACTTAACTGCCAGGGTCTAAGTAAGGCCTACTCCCAGGGACTCATCTGGGCAGCCACACCTGTGGTTTGAAATATTCTTTATTTTGTAAACATTTGTGTTTAAAATAGATGAACCCTGCTCACAATTCATATACTGGACCCGAGACACAGTACACAAAGTTCACCCGTCACAGGGAGAAGGTGGGGGCTCAGGAGCAGTTAGGGGTGCCCGGGGCTGGGCTGAGTCTCAGGACAGCAGATGCAGAGGTGGTGAGGAGTAAACAGGCAGGAGCGCCTGTTCAACAGTCTGGGCCTAATGCCAGATCCCAAGCCACCTCCTGGACTGGGGAAATTTAGGGGTAAGAGGCTGACTCTGGTACCTGTAAAGAATAACTGTACCCTAACATCCCAACCCTCCTCCTGTTCCAGTTGTGGCCTTGTGGATGGAGCCAATCAGGCCATAGAATTTGCCCCCATGTTTTCCCTTCCAGAACCCCTAGGGTACAGTAAAAACAGAGCCCCTCTGTCCTGAGAGGGCTAGGAGAGAAAGGCTCGGCCTGATCTTCAGGGAAAGCTGCAATACTGACCCAAAAGTTGGAGCCAATGCAGATATAACTTGCCCGTTCTGAAGTCCCAGCTGAGCGCACTTGAGGGTTGGCATCACCGACCTCCCGTCCCCCAGTGTGATGCTGCATGTGTTCTGACACTTGAGGAGCTGGTCCTCAAGGAAGCATCCCTAGCCATAATCATGACTTCCTCCTAGAGTCAGCTCTCTAAATTTCTCATTAGCCAATGCCTTATAACTATTCCTGCCTTCCTTTTCCCTTTGCTATGCTAACCTAACCCCCATTCCTACATCTTGAGCCACCCTCTCCTGCTATATTCTGGTTTAGTAAGAGTCTGGAGGAAAGGTTTGGCGATTACAACCCCTGCCCTTTTTGGAGGAGTAAGGAAGTGGGGCTCTCAATCCTTCATGTGTGTGCCCTGGATTTTGGTCCTTAGCTGGTGAATGCTTAATGCCCAGTTCTTTGTTTTAGCTCTAGCCCCAGCCATGCAATGTGGCTAATATGTAGCGGAAGGTGGGGTGGGGGGAGCCCTACTAGGGCTGGTAACTGGCTTGTCCCTTCCTTAAAGGGCCTCCTTCAAGCTACTCTTGGACCATATGGGGTTAAAGAAACTTCTTGCTGAACAAGGAGCTCTGGAGGAAGGAGCCTCTTCCCTCCACCTGTAGCCACAGTGTGGTTGGCAAACAAACCCTCGAGCCTCCACCTCAGGAGCTAGAGGGACAAGATGAGCACTTTGTCTTGAAGGCTGATGAGACCAACAAAGCATTTCTACCCAGGGCCTGCTTTCATTCTTCCCACGAAGCCCCGACTCTTCTCCCACAAACTTTGGGTCTCAGGAGAACTTTGAGAGCTGAAAGCTGGGTTCAGTGAAGGCCCACCTGGTTTTGTTACCTCTCACTTGCCAGGAAGTTGTGGAATGCTCTTCTCACACAAGAAATGGAAGGCGGAGCCCAGGAAGCCCCGAGGCTGCCACACTCCCCTCTGGTTTGCTGGCCTGCTCTCCCTCCTCTTAACCGGATACTTAGAAGCCAGTCTTTTATTTCCAAATGCTCTCCCTTCTGGAGTGGGTGGTTGGCTTGTCACTGTCACTCCCCCGGGGCTCTCCTTGCCCCTGCAGTGCCCTCCAGTCTTGGCCCATGTTTTTAAATTCAGGAGCCCAGATGGGAAGAAATTGTGTACACGCGGCGTGGGAGGTAGAAAATGGAGGTGGCTTTTTATCCCCGCCACCCCTCATTTTTTTTCTTCTCTGAAGCACCTGCCTCTGAGCTCAGTTCCCCCAAGAGGCAGGTGGGCAGGCAGCCAAGCAAGGCCAAAGCTGGGGTATGGGGAGGAGGAGGCACGGAGAGGTAGGACAGCCCCAGGCTAAGGAGCTCTTCAGTGTTTCCTTCCTACCTTGATGTCTCACTTTCCCAGATCATTGGTGAGGCAGGCCCATGGCACAGGAAGGGATGGTCAGGAGGAGAGGATGGGAAGAAGCACCCCATAGCCTTCGGCCCACCCGCAAAGCAGGGTGAGGGTTCTCCCAGGAGCAGAGACGGAACATCCTCATGAGCCTGCGTCCATTCCCTTGGACAGGGTTGGGAAGAACAGGAAGAAAGCAGCTCCACCAGCAGCCACACAGCCGGACACACAGGGAAAGGGATGTGAGGGGCTTTGATGCAAAACATACTGGAGGGGAAAGGGGCAGAGAAAGAGAAGCGGGAAGAAGAGAGGAAAAGTGAACAGGAGGAAAGATGCACTGAGAAAAAGCCTAAAGTGGCCTTGACTCTGACTGGGCCATTGTCCGGGGAGCTTGGGGCGGTGAGACAGTACTTGTAGCACATCTGGGGCTCATAGCAGGCCTGCGGCTGGGGAAACGGGCTGAAGGATACCACTCCAGGTGAAGGGCTGGGGGCAGAGGCTGCTCAGAGATGACAGCGGAGCTGCTTGCGGGGCCAGGCAGGGGGAGTAGCAGCTACTGATATTCCACAGGGTCACCCAAATGAGAGGAGAAGCAAGGCAAAGCCCAGACTCCCTGTCTGCCCGCAGGCCTCCTGAGGGGAGGGGGGATAGTGTGGGTGCTCCATGCAGGACCCTCAGCACCAGCAGGTTTTTGAAGAGTTCGCTGGGCCCTCAGGTTTGCTCTCATCCTCCTCGAGCTCTGCCAGTGCCATCTCATTGCTGGCACGTGTCCGGACACCATCCAGTTCCTTCCTATGGGCCTGCAGCACCAGCTCCGTCAGACGCGTGAAAGACTGGGAAACCAAGGGGCACAGGTGAGTCCGTGTTTCCTCCTTTTCCCCTCGCAACCTTGTAACTGGCCGAGGGCGGGCTCTCATCTCATCTTGGCTCTCCTATCTGCTACCTTCTCTTCTCGCTTCCCCACTCCGGACTCAGCCAGAGACATAGGGCAACTGGGCTTCAGAGCACTCACCTCTTTAATGTTGAGGTTGGTGCAGGCACTTGTTTCATAGAAGTCCATGCCATACTCCTTAGCCAGCTGCAAGAAAAGAACATTCTTGAAAGGGAATCAGTAAGAGAAGGGAGGTCGCACTGTATCTGGCACATATTTCTACCATTCCCTCACAGCCACGCTGTGTTGTAACAATTCTCAGAATAGATAACTTCTCAGATAAGACATAGGCTAGCAGAGAATGGGAGAAGAAGTCCCACAAACACCCCCACACGTACACGTACACACCCAACACACATATCATATAGTAAGAGACAAAGACACCAAAATGTGGCAATATGGCAGGTTAATCTAGAACGTGAGCATTGGAGTCAAAGAGACCTGGACTTGTATATCAGTGCTGCCACAGCTATACGACCTTGGACAAGATATTTATTTTCTCTCGGCCCAGCTTTGTCATCTGTTAAAGGCGGATGAGAATGTCTGTCAACCAAGGTGTGGAATGATTAAATGGGGTCGTCCATCTCAAAGCACTTGCTTAGCACAGGGCTACACATAAGTGCTCAATAAATACTATCATTCCAGTAGGGTCTGCTTCTCCTTTCAAATTTTTCAATGACCATGTATTATTTTTTAATACTAAAGAATCAATGTTACCTTAAGTGTTAGTGGAATGTTATTGACTAAAGAAGGAGAGAAAAGCTCTTGAGGCCCTCAGAGTGGGTGGATGACTCTAGTCTCAGTAGTATCCATCGTTCTCTCTGTTCTCTGGGCGGAAGTTCCCCCTGTATGTGTGGACCGTGCCCTCGGGGTCATATCCCACCCCCTCTGTCCCCATGGCTTCTCTGACTGTGGGCCCTTCTTTCCCTCACTTTCCTTCCTACCTCTTTCCAAGTGTAAGAAGTACAGGGAAGGGGTGTGGAGGGGGGTGGATGACTGTAAGACGGTAGCTATGCCTGAATGCTGTTAGAGAAGAAGCAACTTGAAGTTCTTCCTTATCGCTAACACTGGGATGAGCTCTTCAGCAGAGGTAATCCTGTTTTAGGGGACTTGGAGCTGAGAGAGTTGCTGTCCAAGAGGCCTTCGTTTCAGGATGGGCCCCAAATCACTGTTCTGAAGGACAGAATGCAAACTCTCAAGGATGGCAACTCCCAGTGCCTTAGGCTACTATAGGAGGTATATGGATGTGTTATTGCTGGAGGTATGAATGTGCTTGACGGTGGTGATAGAATCCTGGGTCTCAACTCTCAGGACTGACCATCCAAGGCGGCGGGAAACCTCAAGGGATGGATTCAGCCAGCTCACTCCCACTTACCTGCTGCCCTTGCTCTCTTCCCACCTGCCGTTTCTGCTCTTCATCGGCCTTATTCCCTATAAGGATCTTCTGGACACCTTCTGGTGCATACTAGGGACAAAGGACAGGCAGAATTACCAGTGAGTGCTGCCTTTCTCTTCCATCTTCCCACCAAACAGTCTATACTGACATCAACAACTGCATCAAATTTAAGAGCCCTAGGGACAGAGCAGGCTGACTGGGTGCAGGTGCCAGGCTTCCCTAAGAACCACAACTGACCCCAGGTGTCCCAGAGGGATGTCATATGGATAGCTCAGAGTAGGAGACACTGATTAATGCTGGTGCTTCTTTGGGTTGGATACCTGGTATCTGAGCTGGAAAGGACACTGGTCTTGAGTCCAACCCCTCATTCTATAGGTAAGGAACTGTGGACTCAAGAGAGCTCAAGTTGCTTGCCCAGGGCTCCACAGCTGTCGTGGCACAGCCAGGACTAGAATTCCACCTGGTCCTGAGATTTTGGGAAGGAAGCTGTTCGCAGGGTGGGCTCTGACTTAACTCACTTCCAGGAAGAAACAGCCATAGAGGCAGGGCAGGGGCATAGAGCATGGGGGGCATGCAGCTTGGGCTTCTTCCCCATGTCTTACTCACCCAGAGGTCTTTAACCAGGGCTGCGGAAGGCAAGGTTTCCTGGCAGAGTCTGTCTGCTCGCCAACTCCAAGAGCTTCAGCCTTTCTCATCTGGCCCTCACTCTGCCTTCCCCTCTGAGTGCCCTCCCCCAACCCCGACAATGAGGCGTTATCTCCTACCTCATCCACATCACTGACCCACTTCATGATGTGCTGGTAAGAGCGCTCGCTGCTAATGTCGTAGACTAAAAATATTCCCTGAGAGAGAGAGAAGGAGATACGGGGGAGGCAGACACACCTTAAATACTGGGTACCACTCTCCTTGCTCCCTTATTGTTTAGCACCATGAGGACCCCTCAACTCCCAGAAATGTCTCCTCCTCTCTCAGCCCCCCAAAGAAATGGCTTCCTAAGCCCACTGCAGAACTGAGGTAGGAAGGCACCAAATACTTCCACCTGGGACTATGGCCCAGGGTGGAGGCTGAGGGTCGAGGACCTGCCTAGAGTGAGTGCTCAGAGAATAATGGTCCTCGAACAACTGAAAGACGTCCCTGAGGCTCTCCTCCCCAACAGGCAATCTGAGGGCCCTATTTGGGGAGTCAGTGGCATAGATACCTCAAACACCCAGAGCTTGTATTGAGGGTGGCAGCATCCCACCTCTGAACCCTGAAACTGATGGCTCACCTGGGCCCGTCGATAGTACTGCTTTGTGATGGTCTGATATCTCTCCTGCCCAGCTGTGTCCCTGCAGTAGAAAGCCAAACCCTCAGAAGAGCGGGGAGCGTGGAAGCAGGCGGGGAGGGGAGAAGCAGGAGCTGGGAGACCCTGTGCCCTTGCAGGAAAAACTGGGGAGCTGCAGTAGAGCTTCGGTCCCCAAGGGGATCCAAGCATATCTGACTCTGCGGGAGAAGGGTCTCGTCATCTGGTCCTCACAGGGCTCACAGGACCTTGTCAACTACATCTGCACCAAGAGCCACAACTGTAAGTGGGCCTTGGATGGCTCTCTCTAGAATTTGGCCACTGTAGCCAGACTGGTTGGATTGTTCCACCTCTGGTCCCTATGGGATCTCCGAAGGCAACACCCATATCAGTCTTTAGGAGGCAGCCCCACAGGCTGGCAACTGCAGTGAGTTCTTTCAAGAGCGGCAGGCCAGAGAGCCATAGCAGCCCCCTGTGGCCACTTGTGGGACTGCACCGCGTGGCATCAAGGAACTCAGCAAGGTCCCACCCTAGATGGTGTAGCCCATCCTCCTTCCAATCCCATCACAGTGCAACAGGGCCCAAAGACAAAGCCTTAATCTAAGGCAAACCCACAGTGGTTAGTTTGCCAATCCCTTCTAATTCTTGCCTTCTGGTGACTTGTGGTTAATTCCATAAGGTTTCTTAAGAAAGAGATAGGAAATTTAGGGAGCAGGATATGGGCTTTGAGTCTTCTGCTGCTCTTCATCGAAGAGGTTGCCAGAGTGCCGATTGAAACTCGGGACTTTTCACATGGTCATGGCAGCTAGGGAGCAGCCATGGTCCTCTCCTCCCACCCAACTCACCAAATCTGTATCCGCACTTTGATGCCATCTACCTCTATGGTCTTCATCTTAAAGTCGACACCTAAGAAAAAGAAGAGAGCACGAAGATTAGGAACTGAGAACCACTGAGAACTGAACAGCCAGGCCCAGGGCACTCACGGTTGAAGGGATCTCCTTTGGTTTAATTTGGCAGAAAGATGGCATGAGGTAAGGGCCTTGTTGAGCCAAAAACTGACCCTACAGAAGCGTCTGGTGCTTTGAATGGGGCTTCCCTTCCTCCTTGAGCTGAAAGTTGCCAGCTGTAAAAGGCTTGGGGGCACAGAAAATGAATGTGGGTGAATACGGGCGAATTCACTCCATAGCTGCCTCACTTGGCCCCAAACGTGTCTCACTCTATTCACGTGTGATGTCTTCCTAGCTATGCTTCTGGAGAGGACCACTGTATCTTTCCTTCCTGGAAGTCTAATTCCTAGTAAGAGACCTCATGGGCCTGGGTTTTTCTCCCTCTGCCTTATTAATAACCAGGAGGGGTTATTAGTAACCCCATTGCGAATGTGGGGAGGGTGCACAGAGCCTGCAGAGAAGAAGACTGTTTTTCACTCCATGGTGTTTATGAAGCCCTCAGTGCCTAGCAAAGGCCACCAAGGAGAAGGCCTGGAAGATCTATTGTCGACTAACCCATTTGCCGTGGGAGACACAATGGTTGACTAGAAGGAGGATGGGCTTTGAAGTCAGGCCTGAGCTTAGATCTGATTCTGGCCACTTAACTCATGGCTATGACTTTGAGCTTGCTTCTCTGAGCTTCCATTTGCTCATCAGTAAAATGGGAACATTATCAGTCATTTCAGAGGGTCGCGGAGAAGACCAGGTGAGATATAGTGCCTGGCACCTGGTGGCTATTAAATCTACTTCTGGTATCATTATGCCCCAGTACTGTCCTGGTCCACAATGGGTGCTCACGAGTGACTGCCAATGACCAGCTGAAGAGGCGGCGACACAGTGCATTGTTGGGGAAGGGAGAGGGAAAAAACAGTGTTCTAAGGCTCATCTGCCCAAGGGCTTGAGGAGCTAAGCTGCCACAAGAAACAGGACACATAGGGATTTGGCAAACCAGCCCAGGATGGAAATATATTGGGGAAATTTGTAGCATGAGAAGTCAGCACTAACCAGCAACATGCAGGCTTAAATCTGAGTGATGAGAGATGAGGGGAGAGGTTTTTATCACCCCGCCTCTCCCCAGCCCTAACTGTGCTCAGGTACCATGCCCAGTGATTCAAGAGCCGTGTCTAGTAGGTTAATTAAGCTTAAGTCCTCATGTACTCCCTGGAGACAAGTCAGTACTGGGCATTGTTAACCAGTTTTCAGTTGGAGAATATGGAAAAGGCAGAGTTCTGGACCGTAGTCACCACGCTGCACAATAGGGCCCCAAAATACGCCAAAGGTGCCAGAACTGCCCACACCGATGCAGTTCCACCTGGGCATTAGTGCTCTGCCAATGGGAATGCTTCTACCTTTATCCATCCTGTCCCCAGATTAAGTTCAGGCTCTTCTCTCTCACCACAGAGACCACTCATTATTTAATTAGAGGGAGAAAAAAATTCAGAACGGACAACCCAAACTAAATCAAGTTGGTCTGACATGAATCATTATTTGCGGGCCCAAGGTGAGTTTTATCTATTGAGCTGTATTTTTCCAAATGGGTGAGCCCGGCAGTCATTCTTCCAAGTGTGCTAAAATGTGCAGAAGAGGAGGGTGAAAGGTGAGGGGTGTCTAGCGCAGGATGGGGGGGTCCCTAGCATGCTCACACCCTCCCTAGACAAACAGAGGTCAAGAATTTGCCTCTCCAAAATCTGGCATAGAAGAGATCGTGAAATTTT